CGATGCGAATTTTGACGGCTTCCCTTACATAAAGAAAATATTTTGTATTTTTTCGTGGAAGATAGCACGCCTTTATAAATTTCAAATAAAATACGACTTCGTTAAAATTGAAAATGCAAAAGAAAAGGCAGAGACAAAGAATAAGAATATAAATAAAAAAAACCAGACACGATAGCATTAACGTCGATAATATTCTCTCGAAACTTAATGAAAAAGATAATTCATCTACACATGATGATGATGATGAATCATGTGGAGAAATTGACGAATATATCAAAACAAAGGTCAGTTATGCAACAAGAGTTTCTATTGGCATGGCTTGAAAACTAATTCAGTTATTTAACCAAACCACCCTATGTGGTATTGGTAAATTTTTTCAATTTCTGCTTCATTTGTAGCGAGAAAACGCATACAAAGTGAAAAAGGAAGAATTTTAGAAACAAGAAGACAGCAATTGACTTCTGAATCAATTGACTCATTTATTTTTTAAAGAAACTTCCGATAAGTTTGAATTCATATCATTATAATTAAATGTAAAACTTAATGGAATAATATGATAATTTTTGTATTTAGACTTTACATGTGTGTCATCGATCAGACATTATATGTTTTCTTGACAGCAATACGATAAGTGGTCGCCGACGATTGCTATCGGGTTCATGTTCGAGTGCAAAAAAACATTTATGACCCAACTCTAAATATAAAAAGCTGTACCCTGTGTGGGAACTAATTGTTGTAATACAAGTAAAATATCCTTTATAATTAATCGATTCTTGTTTCATTACAAAATCTAGAAATCTACGTAGTCCAAGTTCTTATTTTTAAACAGTAAACAGTTTCCTAAAGTTTCAGCTTTGCAGCTCTTCTTGCTTCTGAGAAAACTGCATTACACTTCAATAATGTCCGGCTAGTTTTTTTTTGTCGAATAATGTCCGCAAGTTAAAAAACAAGGAATTCTCTACGAAAAATTTATTTAAACCAGCCATGTTATATACCATTCGATTTGTCTTTAAAAGATCTATCTATCAAACGTAGATTTTTCTCCATAGAAAGTCAAATTTTGAGTCGTGAAAGCGTTTTATTGGTTTTTAGATATACAATGTGGATAAAAACGTCTTTCAAGAGAAGTATAATCTTGATCACCACACGGGTGCTGGTGCTTGTTATGTATCGATCTAATGCTTATCGGTAAACATTAATCTGTCATATGTTGGTGAATTGATGGCTGATATACAGAATTCTACAAGTATTCGATTTTATTTGTATGCTAAAGAAGATATCGATTCTGTTCAAAAACAAATGCCAGCATTGACAAGTGTAAAAGGCACATCAGTCTTCCATGAAATAATAGCTCATTCAGATGGAAAGATATTTGCTAAAGCAAAATCTGACGATAAAGAAAAATTAATAAAAACAAATTTTGAACTTACGAGGG